CTGATCAAAAGGCACAAAGAAAAAAAAATCCCTTTCTCAGATGCAGCAGAATAAATCACAGTGGGGAGAGCACTGAGCAAAGGTCCTGAGACCACGAGCACGAGGGATTTAGCCCAGTCAGCACAACCATCAGCAGGATTCTCTGTGGATTTAGGGCAGTGAAACAGTGAGGGAGAAGCTCATTGCCTCTTGGCTCAGGAGCTGAGTGAGGCTGTGGCAGGGGACACTGCCCCATGTCCCTGTGGGTGATGCTGGGCACTGAGAGATCTTCACCAGCAGCAATTCCTGCAGTTGTTTCACCAGTCAAAGCTTCTTTTCTCTTCCCAAGTTTCTTCTCTGTTCATCTGCCTTCCAAAGAAGCTGCCAAAGATCCTCCCAGATCCTCCTCCCAACCATCTCTTCTCCTGCAGGGCCATGACTGGTGGCCCTAGACACTCCATCCCTGCTCAGCCCACGCCTGAGAGACTCCACAGCTGGTCCCAAGGAGAGGTCGCCCCTGCAATGCTTGGGAACAGCAAAGGCACCAAGTCCAGGAGCTGCAAACCGAGAGGAAATCACTGTCATCACTTCAGTCTCCATGGAAACACTAAAGAAACTCCTGACTTCTCTCTCTCTCAGCTTTCAGATATCGTTCCACAGGCTCGGCTCATTTGGGACAGAGCTCTGAGACAGCAGTGGATTTTCTGCCTTACCTTTCCTTTTTGAGAAGGTTCTCCCCCTAGGCAGAGCTTGGTGATGGACTGGAAAAAGAGGAGCTCAGCAGGAGGCTGGTTAATAAGCAGCATCCCTCACTCAGGGAAGCAGTGTCCAAAGAGCTGACAGGGCTGGAAGCTCAGGGCTCTGCTCCAGCTGGGAAGCAAAGTGCTTTACATTTTGTCTTTTCCTCTTTCTGTTCCTGCTGTTCCAAGAAACACATCTGCATCACGATGAGTTTTCCTCCTTCAAACCCTCAGGCACTGCAGGGCAAGTGGGAGGTGAGGGAAGGACTTTTAGAGCAAATATTAACTGGGAGGTTTTTGGCTTTCAGAGCAACCAGCACTTCAGCTTGGTCTGGCAGAGCAGCTGACTGGGGGAGGCACAGCAGGTGTGCTGAGAGGAATGGCAAGCAGGAAAACAGGCAGGTCTAGGGGACCAAATCCTGAGGAAAACATTGGATTTCCAGCAGGCTGGGCACGAATCTCTGTGCACACAGAAGAGCAGGTTGGTTTCCATCCACTCACACAGGAGCAGTGATTGACTTACTGGGAGAAGCTGAAGTTTCTTGAATTTCCTGGGAGCTGCTGATCCACCTAGACCAGGGTTGGGCTGTTTTCTGCCAGGGACCTGCAGCTCTCTGCTCTTCAGGAGCTGCTCCAAGGCTGCAGCACCAAAACAAGATCCTCTCCCGCTGCTTGTCCCATTTAAACAGCTCTCCCCACCCCTGCAGTCTCCCTTGGCATTCTGTGCTGTGTCCACGAGAAGATGGAGGTTTAGTTGCCTTTTTATTTTTGGCAAAAGCTCCCAAAACAGCCTAGCAGGTCTGTTCTGCACCTTTGCTAGGCTGCTGTGTTGTGGTTTGGCAGCACATTCCTCTTGTGCTGCAGCACTCAGAGCTGCCTGCCAACCCCTGCAGCCTCTGCAGGCTGGAGATTCCTCATGGATCAGGCTGGGACTCGGCTCTGCCACACTGGAGATTCCTCATGGATCAGGCTGGGATTGGGCTCTGCCACATAGCCCTGGCACCCCAGGTGGGTGAGGGGTGAGTGCTGCCACCCCAGAAAAGGTAAGGCACCC